TTTCTAACTCTCTATCCCTCTCTCTTACTCTCTGTAAAAAATCAATAAAATATATATTTTTAAAAAAAGAGAGATTCTAGAGAGTTCCCTCACCCTTTTTGCCATGTGAGGACACAGTAAGAAGACACTGAACCTGACAGCACTGACCTTAGACTTCTCAGCTTCCAGAAATGTGAGAAGTAAATGTTCATTGTCCATAAGACACTCAAGTCTATGGTCACTCATTACAGCAGACCGAACAAAGACACTCCTATATCCTTCAACCTCTTTGATAGGTGTTTCTTTCACCTCCATTATCCAACTGAAACCTCGATACCCCTTTAGCACCAAGCACACTTTCCTTGCAGTCTTCTCTAGGGGTGCCTATTTTTTGTCCTACAAATTATATAACAATGCTTTGCAAAAATTAAACTGGAACCCATTAGTGTGAGTATAAGTAGGATACTTTTAAAATAAAGTAATAAAATAGAAAATATTAGTATATGCTCCACGTAGTTAAGGTGCATATTGTTTCATTAAAATTTTGTTTCAATTATATAAGTGATTGCTTTCAAATAAATATTTATATTCAAATAAATATCTAGATGAAAATTGCTGCTTTACACCACCTAAGGTTAGAAGTAGAGGAAGTGTTCTCTTTGCTGCCTCAAGCATCAGTTCCCTTCTTCCTCCCTAAATAATGCTCTGCTACTTTGAAGCACATGCCATCAAACCATTGCACACACTGCCTTTCCTTATTATCATCACCTGCCATCCTCCTGGTCATTCACCTTCTTTCATTAAAGACTCCTGCAACATGCCGAAACCGGTTTGGCTCCGCGGTAGAGCGTCGGTCTGCGGACTGAAAGGTCCCAGGTTCGATTCTGGTCAAGGGCATGTACATTGGTTGTGGGCACATCCCCAGTAGGGGGTGTGCAAGAGGCAGCTGGTCAATGTTTCTCTCTCATCGACGTTTCTAGCTCTCTATCCCTCTCCCTTCCTCTCTGTAAGAAAAATCAATAAAATATATTAAAAAAAAAAAAAAAAGACTCCCTCAACTGGATTGCTATTTCACTCTCCACAATCCCATCTTCATTCCTGGTGACTTTAATACCTTTGTGGACAATTCATCTTATGCCCTGGGTTAAATTGCACAAGTATGATTATTAAAATACTGAAATATTTTCACAGCCCCTGGTGCCTCCAGAACCCCACACCAGCGCTTTAACTGACATTCATTTTGATGGGTTCATGTCCATGCCATTACCAGTAGTAAAATACTTTGAATACTACCCCACTTAACTCCCTAGCCCCGTGGTCGGCAAACTGTAGCTCTCGAGCTACATGCGGCTCTTTGGCCCCTTGAATGTGGCTCTTCCACAAAATATCACGGCCTGGGCGAGTCTATTTTGAAGAAGTGGCGTTAGAAGAAGTTTAAGTTTAAAAAATTTGGCTCTCAAAGGAAATTTCAATCGTTGTATTGTTGATATTTGGCTCTGTTGACTAATGAGTTTGCTGATCACTGTCCTAGCCTCTCAGTTCCTTGACTTTCTCTTACCTTAAATGATCTTTTTCCATCACTGCAGAAATTCACTATCATGGTCATTACCAACAACTGCAACCCCTCATCTCCAGTTCGAACACCCCACTCTGCCACCTACATTTTCAGCTCACTCCATTCCAATAGTCTGTCTACCTCATTGAGACTCAGGAATACATTTATCTTTCATCCCATCTTGTCCCTTTCCATCATCCTACTAAAGTCCTCTTTTCAACCATTATCCAGCTTCAGTTCCTAGGTGTTGAATTCTTATTATGCGTTAAATTGTTTATTTACATAATCTTTTTTACTTTCAAAACAACCTGAAAAAGTAGGTATAATGACATCCATTTTATTAAGAAACACACACACAGCTGAAACCAATTTGGCTCAGTGGATAGAGCATCAGCCTGCGGAATGAGGGGTCCTGGGTTTGATTCCAGTCAAGGGCACGTACCTTGGTTGGGGGCACATCCCCAGAAGGGGGCAAGCAGGAGGCAGCTGGTGGATGTTTCTAACTCTTTCTACCTTCCTCTCTGTAAAAAAAAAATCAATAAAATATATTTTAAAAAAGAAACACACACACACACACACACACACACACACCTGCTCCAGATTATAGAAATAAAAAGTAGAGGTTCTACAATTTTAAATGGCTGAACCACTATTTCCTTAACCTTAAACTAGGGATAAAGATAATTTAACTCATTGAGTTTGGAAGATCACATGTATACAAAAGCACTTTGAACCTTGTAAAGTGTTCTACAAATGTTAGTTATAATTATTCACTACTGACTAGAGAGGCCCTTACCCTTTCTCTCCACAGGAGTTCAACCTGAAACTTCCCTCAGCCTTCCTCTTTCCTTTATAGTCATGGGCATAGAGGAAGCAAAAATTTCCACCGCTCTGTCGATAGAAAATTCATCTCTGATGTCAAGCTTCAAAACTTTGGATGGAAGAAAATCAGTGTCATAAATGGTGGTTAGGTCCTAATTAGTAATTGAAGGTATGGTTTCATTATGGAGAAACAGGCTTTTATAAGCCAAGATGATAATTCATAACACAAATTGGTGAATACTTTCTTATTCAAACCACATCAGAATAGGAGTTTAGAAATGAAGAAGCCAAGACTGACAGGCAAGAGACTCAATCTCTTGAGCTTTTCTGAAGTCCTGTAGAGAACTTGGAACCTTAAGTGTCTGCGGCTCTTCCTGAGCCCCAGGAAGAACATTGCTGTGTTCCAAGGAACTCTGTATTCCATGTGCTAGAATCTGGCTAGTGGCAGTTAGTTCATCCCATTCTATGGTTCCGAACTCTATCCACAGGGCAGCCAAGGACCAAGAATGGTATAATTAGACCCATCAGGCATATCACTTCCTTATAGTACTAAATACAGTGACTCCCTATTCCTTCACATGGCAAATAAAAATCCCTGACCCACTATTCTAATCTTTCTGTCAATGTCCCCATTTCATTTTTTTCTATACTCTAGACTAGGGGTGTCGAACTCAATCAGAGAAGGGTCCAAAATCTAAAATCCAGCCTAAATCGCGGGCCGAATGGTTTACTGAACAGTCATAAACTGTCATTGTGATGGAAACGCAGTGGAGTGCAGTGATGACAGCGCGGTGCGGGCCACATTGCAAGGCCTGGCGGGACGGATTTGGCCCGCGGGCCTTGTGTTTGACACATGTGCTCTAGACATCCCCACAATTCTGTTCTTCATCCCGTAGCATGCCACACAACATGTCCATTTCTCCCCTCTGATTCTATCCAAGATGCTCTTCCTACATTTTGCCTTCAAAGCTGATCTTGAAACAATTCCACCAGAAAGTCTGAAAAAGATGGAATCATCTGCCTACTACTCAGTGCAATTTAATTACTCCACCTTATAACATTACTAGCATGTAGGAGTTTGTCCATATATTACTGTGAAAGGTTAAGATACTACTCTGGTGACTAGTGCACCAGATTATAAGTCTAAGGCCAGGCCCAGTTCCCAATTTTGCCTTTTGGCTTACTTAATGCCCCTGAACCCATGCTGAGATAACATCTACACTGCACAGTTTTTTGATTAACAGCTAAAGAGATGCACATTGAAAGCATAATATAAAGGTATTTCACATTCCCACCCCCACCCCAGTGATGTTTAAGACAAGGTTCTGGCATATTAGATATTTATTAAATATTAATGACTCATTATGGTGCCATTAGGCCAAAGCTTACTTTCCTCAGTTTTGTTTGTTTTGGATACAATCTCACATCAATTTATTTCCCAAAGTAGAGAAGAGGAGAGTCTATGCTGGCCTTAGTTCCAGGACCTGAGATAGAAATCTTGGTTCTACCACTCGCCTCCTCCCACCCCATATCCTAGAATCTGCTCTAGAATCTGCTCTATACCCACTCCCAAGTGCATGTCTAGCACATTCTCCTCCTCCTCACTATGGAGCCCTCCCCACTCTTCTGCCTCAAGACTCTCTCTCATATATGTTCACTCCTTTGCGCTCAGTGCGAAATATATTCCTCCATTTTAGCATCCATTGCATTTTATTGCAAATATTTCTTAAATGAGTCCTCAAATCCACAGACAGCTCCTTTAGGATCTTGGACTCCCAGCACTGAGTTACAGTGCCTGGCACATAGGAAAAAAATAAATATATGTTAAATGCTTGTCACCTGTGACCTTAAGGGAGTCACATAGTTTTGAAGCCTGTAAGGTTTTACAGAGCTGTTGTGATGAGAAACAATGAATGTAACTTGTAGATTCTAAAGAGGATTCTAATGGTAATGTGTTTATTATGTTTGTCTAGGCCTTTCTCATCTTTCCCAGTCAAATTCATCTTCATGCGTTGAAGTAGCTCTGTTCTAATTAAAGTTCATGCAAGCCACATATGTAAAACGTAAACATTTTTAGTAACCACACGAAAACGTTAAAAGTACGTAAAATTCATTTTAATAAATTTTAACCCAATATGTCCAAAATATTGTATGTTAGCTCTTTTACATTTTCTTAATGAAGTCCACACAAGAGCTCAGCAGCCGCATGCGGCTAGCGGCTCCTTGCAAATCGGGACAATGCAGCTGCAAGGCCTGCGGTCTGAGTGGAGTCCCCCTGGCCATCCGTCCATCCCCCTTGGGAACGAGAGCCTCCTCCGCGGTGCTCCCTCCGGCTGCCCTCCCCGCTATCCGGACCCCTAGGAGGTGAGCCCCTGGGGGGTTCCAGGCCGGCGGGCGGCGGGCACGGAACGGGCGGTGATGAATGAACCCGGTGCGGAGGACCCTGCGGGCGGGCTGCGCCGGGCCGGGCCGGGGAGCGGTCTGGCCGGGAGCGGCGGCGGCCGCGGCAGCCGGGACCGGGACGTCTGCGCCCCGCGGCGCCCCCCACCCCCCCGCGCGGCCCGGAGCCCCGGAAGCGGGCGGGGTTTCCTGTGCCCGCCCCGCCGCGCTCGCCCGGCCGTCTCCGCCCGCCCGGCGCCGGCTCGGCGGCCGCAGCTCCGCGCAGGGCGCAGGGCGGGGCGGGCGGGGCCGGGAGGAGGCCCCGGGCCGCGGGCCAGGCCGACCGGGTGAGTGCGGGCGGCGGGCGGGCGGCGGGCGGGCGGCCGTCGCGAGTGGAGGGAGGACGCCGGCTCCCCGGGCGGCGGGCGGGGGCCGGGCACCGTGGGGGCGGGAGGAGAGTTGCCGCGGCCTCGGGGCCGCTCCTTCCCCGGGGTCGGGCCCCTGACAAGCTGGCCGCCCGCCGCCAGGTGTCCCGCGGCCCCGGCGCCGCTGTCCGCCCCGGGGCTCCCCGCTGCCACCGGCGCGCGGGCTGCCCGCCGCCCCTTTCTCTCCGCTCGCTCCTGTGCCCCAGTTCTCGGAAAATCTGTCTTCTGACCTCACTCCCCGGCTCCCGCTCCGCCGGCCTCGCATAGATACTCTGAAATGTGACCCCCTGCAGGGCACCGCGACAAGCAGGAGGGAGGAGGAACCCTACTCCCCGGCGGCGCCCAGCGGGCCCACGCCCGCCCGGGGCCTCGCTGCCCCGCTGAGCGCCGCTCATCCCCGTGCCCTCGGGCCACTCCTGTCAGTACCGCGGCCCCTTCTCTGTCCAGCCGCACCGGCTGCAAAAACTAACTTCTGCAGGTGCCTGCCGGGCCTCCTCCCCCCGCCCCCCAGATATGCGAGAAAAAGAGGAAATGGAAAACCTAGAACCCGATGCCAGTAGGCCTGGGGTTGTCCTGGGGCCAGGAGAAACCAGGTTAGGCTGACACCTTCACTGCCAGGAGCCTGCTCCGAGAGAGCAAACATCTGGGGAGATGCAGTCTGAGGACAGGTACCTCCGCCCTCCTGTGTTGAGATTTCTTGCCAGCACTTGGCCGGTGGTGTCAGTGGTCTGGGGAGGCTCCCAGCTGGCCCAGTGGGCTCTTGGGGAGAAATAGGTTGGAGACAGGTGTCCAGATACTTAGCTTGAGGTAAAGTCTTGAGGAGGATTTGTGAAGGGAGCTGGAGAGCAGGGAAGACCTGTGGCAGAGAGGATGAATGGGTGCCTTGTATGTATGTTAAAGGTGAAGCGAATACAGGGGCCAGAATTCAGAGGAGAAAACGAAAATGGAAGTTTCTCTTTCTTGCTTTATTGGGAATTTTCCTTTCTTGTGAGATGTCTCTGAAAAGGAAACCTAAACTGGGAATCAATCGGTCTAGGGTGCTCCCGTGAGGCCCTGGGGCGTCTGGACTTCTGAGATTTAAGGGGAATTTGTTCTCTTTCTGTGCATTGGGACTAGGGTTCCCACCTACTGCTTTTGTCAAAGAGGAACGACAAGAAAATAAACAACTTGGTATCTGTCATCACCCATCCTGGGATCTTGGGTTCGTGCAAATGTTGAGTAGATAGGAGTGAGCCGGAGTGGTTACCAAAGCTCTGCCAAGAAGGAAGGGACTCTGGGGAGTGCCATAGACTGTTTCTGTGCCATAGACAGCAAGGCCTGTGTCACAACACAAGTGGAACCTGTCCTGCTTTTAAGATGTCCAGAGAAAAGGAGAGCCCACACACGCAGTCCTGCACACTGCTGTATTATTAGGAAGAATGTTTAAAAACCTAAAGCTCTTCTCTTGCCATCAAAAGAAGAGATCTGGCCCTGGCTGGTGTGGCAGTTAGTTGGAGCATCGTCTTGTACACAGATCGATGTTTCTCTTGCACATGTCTGTCTGTCTGTCTGTCTCTCTCTCTCTCTCTCTCTCTCTCTCTCTCTCTCTCTCCTTCCTCTCTTTCCCCTCTCTCCTTCCCTTCTTCCTCCCTCCTTCCTGCCTCTCTTGGTTGAGGATCTTAAAACACACACACACACACACACACACACGAGATCTCTATAGAAATTGAAAACGTTTCTCTTTATTCTTTGGTAGTATCATTCATTAGCCTTTCTTAATCAACACAAAACTATGTCCATGTTTTTAACTTTTCTCCAATGACCATATTTTCTGTTTTCTTCACTTTTGTTTTTTTGTGTTCCCCCCCCCCCCCCCCCCCCCTGTTAGAAACAAAACTTCTCTTGACACAAATACATGCTTTAGCTGGGACTTTTACCTATAGTAATTATCCATTCTAATCAATGTGAATGGAATTTGTGGCAGAAAATATTATAAGTGATTATATCCATTTTTGTTGGGTACAAGTCTGCATGTTTCCAGATTGTTTACTTTATTGTCTTTTTCAGTGGTTGGAATTAACGGATTGCTTTTGAATTTTTTAGGATTGTTCCTTTATTTTTCTTAAATGAAGTTCTTGTAGCCTTCAGGGATATTATGTTTCTATCACAAGGTTCTCAAAATAGCCATTAGCGAGTTTTCTCTGTGCACCTGTTCATTTCTTAGTTCCTGCAAGAAGCTTGGCTCAGGCTCAGTTGACTGGACTATATCAAGCTTTTAAAGTTCATCTTCCACCAAGCTCTTATTATCCAGTTTCATCCTTTATCCCTTTGCTGTCTCCCTAACTCCCTTAGGAATATCAGCCCTTTCCATTTTCATGGGAACTGTTGCTATGAATTTGTTCCAGGTCACAATTTGGGTTCGCAGCAAAAATGCTTTCAGAACAGACGGCAGCCCTAGGGACAGGATGGGAGTCTATGAATGTCCAGCTGGATGGAGCACAGCCCCAGATGGAGAGGAGAAGCCATGAGGAGGGGCCATGGAGAATGGCACCAGGGCCACTGGAACACCTGTGCTGTGACCTTGAAGAAGAGCCACAGTCCCTTCAGGAAAAGGGTGAGCGTCTGGAGGGTGTGTGTGGGGGGTGCTCAGTGCAGAGTAGTCTCCTGATCTCTGTTCAGAGAGTAGAGTTAAAAATACCCAATTGCCTTGAACTGAACAGCATAATCAATACCACAGCTAGTCCATTCTTCCTTGGCCCTGGTCACAGGAAGAGAAGGAGCTCTTGTATTCTGCAAGCCACACAATAAGGTTTTCCCACTTCTTATATACCCATTCCCTCCACATGCAAGTGCAACTTAGTGGTACCAAATGTGGGAGACTAAGGAAGTGACAGCAACACTGCTATTGGAGAACGCACCCAGAAAGATACACTTTACAAGATGAAAATTACATTTAAATAATATAAATTCATACCATAGCCAGTGTAGTAGAGATAGAAGACAGGAAAGATTACTAAAAGCCACTCAATACCCTTACCGAACATTCTGAGTGAAGGTCTCTTCTACTATATTTCTGCATTTGAGTCTTACCAATGGGCATAGATATAGAAAAACTGTGACCCTTAAGCCCTGCTAAAATGGGGCCTCGGCTCTTATTGGGAAAGGATGAACGGTACGCCTCTAATGGTTCCTTTCTCCCCTCACCAGCTCAGTCGGCTCCCTGGGTTCCTGCCGTTCCCCAGGAGGGGAGCACCGGAGACTGGGAGATGGCAGCGGCACTTCTTGCAGCCGGATCACAGGTGGGCTGTGTGCTGCCTTGGGCCTCTCCCAGGTGCCTCGTCACTGTTGCCTTTCTGTAAGCCTTAGCACGCTCCCACTGAATGGTTATTTCACATGGTCACAGATAGTATGTTCATCTTATAAGAGAATAGATTCTATCCCTTCCCAAGAGGCTCAAAATATCCTTTAAAAATGAATGAAGCCTTGCCGAAACCGGTTTGGCTCAGTGGATAGAGCATCGGCCTGCGGTATGAAAGGTCCCAGATTCGATTCTGGTCAAGGGCATGTACCTTGGTTGCCAGCACATCCCCGGTAGGGGGTGTGCAGGAGGTGGCTGATTGATGTCTCTCTCTCATCGATATTTCTAATTCTCTATCCCTCTACCTTCCTCTCTGTAAAAAATAAATAAAATACATTTTTAAAAAAATGAATGAAGCCATAACAAGAAGAGAATTCCTAGAAGTCAGGCGTGTTGTTGTTTTTATCAGATGGCTGTGCTAGCCACAGCGAGATTTTAAGAACAATTCATTAATATTCTTTAAGAGATAAGTTTGTGAAGATTAGGGAAAGAGAACCTGAAGGAAGCTTGGAAGAGCATGAAGTAGACAAGATTGGGTGGATGATGGGGCATTTATGGAAAAAGGCAGGGAGAGACTAAGGCACGTGTGTAAGGCCATAATGCTAGTAAATGGCAGAGCTAGGAGTTATTTGGCTCCAGAATCCGGACTCCTAAACACCATACTATGTTGCCTTGATGATACGAATATGACATGGTAGGCGTGAGGGTGAATGTTTTATCTATATCATTTTATTTTAAAAATTTTTTAAAAATATATTTCATTGATTTTTTACAGAGAGGGATAGAGAGTTAGAAACATCGATGAGAGAGAATCATCAATCAGCTGCCTCTTGCACACCCCCTACCGGGGATGTGCCCGCAACCCAGGTACATGCCCTTAACAGAATCGAACCTGGGACCTTCCAGTCCACAGTCTGATACTCTATCCACTGAGTCAAACCAGTTTCGGCTATCTATATCATTTTAGAAAATTTTTTTCTTTATTGATTAAGGTAGTACATATGTGTCCTTATCATATCTATATCATGTTGTGCTGATAGAAAAGGAATGGTCAAGAGGAGGAAGGAAAGCATAAAACAAAATTTTCAATGGAAATAATAAGAAGAGACTGGGCAGACACATGTAGTTAACAGAGAGAGCAGTGATTTTCTGGTGTCTCCGACTTTTAGTCCCATTTGGGAAACTCCTCTAGAGACACTAACCTCACTTACTGGCCATTACCTTTACCTCTCCTCATTTCCCCTTCACCCAGGGGCCTCTGGGTAATTATTTTTCCAGATCTTCTCTTGCCCTCTGTCTCCTACTACCCCATCCTTTCATATTGGGATCACATTTTCCTTAAGGAACAGCTGGTGACAGATGATGCTACATTTTGTTTCAGGGCCTGGTCACCATCAAGGATGTGTCACTGTCCTTCTCTCAGGAGGAGTGGCGGAGCTTGGACCCTTCCCAGACAGACTTTTATGGAGAATATGTCATGCAAGAAAACTGTGGGATAGTGGTCTCTCTAAGTAAGCATGATCTTCCCCAGCCACTAAAAAAGATTATACTCTAGGGGGATGAGCCCTGTGCTCCAGCACTGTTGGATAGTGTCTGTCAATGGTTCTTTCCCTGTCAGGGGATCTATCCTTTCACCAGAAAAAGAACACTAGGACTATCAAGGAGAACGGGAGTGGGGCGACGTTTTTTAAAGACGGCAGCACAATAATGCTGACCCCTGGAGAAGAGAACTTTAGGCTCTTCTCGGTTGGGAATTGGCGGGTTTTTACAAAGCAGAGAGCAGGATGTCTAAGATAGAAAGGAGCCCTTGGAAACTCAAAGACCATCTAGGAAAAGATGGAAGTTGAGGAGGGGGAGGGACGGAGAGGTAGCTGTGTTAGAGCTAAATAAAGGAAGGTTTGACCAGAAAGGACACTTGGGTTGGAAATGTTTGAAATATAAGTGGAAGAGAACACATGCCTGGGGGAATAGTGTGTGATTTCCCGGGGGAAAAAGAAGAGCAACTTAAAAACGGGAGGGAGTGAGGAGGGTGACGCTTATATCTGGCCTTTTATCTAGAGTTCCAAAGAATAATATAGGAAACAGCTTTTCTCAGAAATACAGAATTACGGTTGTACTAATTGACATCCCTCTTTCCTTTTCCGTGGGCAGGATTTCCAATTCCTAAGCTGGACATGCTTTCTCAGCTAGAAGGAGGGGAAGAACAGTGGGTCCCTGACCCACAGGACCTGGAGGACAGGGACATCCTGAGGGTAACATACACAGGTAAGAGCCTGGAGTGGACTCGCAGGCCCGGCCTTCATCCCTCTTGGAATGTGATCATCCCATGTCCCTCTGATCCTTCCTCTGCCGCGGAGAGCTGTAGAATCGAAAGGTTTAGAGGTCTTTTTCTTCAAAAGCAAGAGACAGTGTAGCAGAACGGGTTTAGAAAGCAGGTTTCTGGAGCTAAACTTTGCGGATTTGAATTCAGGACCTTAGAAAAGTGATTAGCCTTCCTTTGGGTTCCTCTCGTGTAAGTTATTGTGAGACTTAAATATGTTAGCATAGTAGAACAATACCACCAGGTACATAAAAAGCACTCAATAAACGTTAGTTGCTGCCATGACTGTTGGTATTGCTGTTCAACTTCCCACCTATTACAGAAAGGGCTTCCACGGCGTCTCTGGTGTTGCTGACAGGTGGCCAGCCAGCCCGTGATGACTGCAGCACGTTCCTAACTCTCTATTTATGCTTAGGCAGGAAGGAGGTAATTAACAGGAAAGATCAGCGGTAAAAAAGAAACAGTAACAAATAAGCACAAAAGCACAGAGGATTTACTTAGTGACTACTAGGTGCAGGTACTGTGCTATTTATCTTATAATTATTTACATCTTACAGAAGAAATGAAGGCTAACAGAAATTAAGTAGGAAAGCTGAGATTCAAAATTAGGTAGTCTGTCTCCTAAGCCTAGGCTTCTAACTTCTACACCTCTCGCGCTGTCTTGTACAACACTGAAATCTGTTCTCTCAGTCCTTGCTGGGTGGGGGTTAGGCCCTAACAGACATCAGACAGCCTCACCTGTGATGTGGGGCTTGAGGTCCGCTCTGGTGACTCCCATCTTGGGGTTGGTATTTCCCCTTGTCCGCAGGAGAAGGAAGTGAGCACGAGGGGGACACCCCTGAACTAGAAGCAGAACCGCCCAGGATGTTCTCCAGTGTATCTGAAGAGACTGCTCTCTGGAACCCGGAGCAGGAGGAGCGCTGGGAGTCCATGCCCAGAAGCTCCAGAGGAATGCTCCTGGGCCCACCGTTTCTTCAGGAAGATAGCTTCTCAAATCTTCTGTGTAGCACAGAGATGGACTCCCTGCTGAGACCGCACACATGCCCCCAGTGTGGGAAACAGTTTGTGTGGGGCTCCCACCTTGCCAGGCACCAGCAAACGCACACCGGGGAGAGGCCCTATAGCTGCCTCAAGTGTGAAAAGAGCTTTGGGCGAAGACACCACCTCATCCGACACCAGAAAACCCACATGCATGACAAGCCCAGCAGGTGCTCCGAGTGCGGCAAGAGTTTCCGATGCAGCTCCCATCTGGCCAGCCACCAGAGGATGCATGCGGAAGGCAGGTCCTGCAAAGGCCAAGAAGCTGGAGAGAGCCCTGGGGCGAGGAGGCGGCAGCACACCCCACCGGTGCCCAAGAGCCACGTGTGCACCGAGTGTGGGAAGAGCTTTGGCCGACGGCACCACCTGGTGAGACACTGGCTGACCCATACCGGGGAGAAGCCCTTCCAGTGCCCTCGCTGTGAGAAGAGCTTTGGCCGGAAACATCACCTGGACAGGCACCTGCTGACCCACCAGGGACAGAGTCCCAGGAGCAGCTGGGACAGAGGGACATCTGCCTTCTGATTTCTGTTTCTGCTGTAGCTGTGGTCACATCTATCAGCTGGTGCTGCCAGGAGTCTCTGCCAGAGCTGCCTCTCTCTTGCCCCCGATGGCCAGGATCAGGAGGCCTGGCCTCATCCCTAGAAAGATGAGGTTTCAGCATGGGCCAGAGCATTCTTCACCACTTCTGTGGGATACCACGGAAAAGAGAGTTCTTTGGGCAAAACTTTTGGGAAACAATGCTTACTACATGGGCTGATATTCAGCCGAGTCCATTCTTAAGCGTACAGTGGTAACAGCGGTTTATGGCTGAGGTCCATGCTGGTTGGAGTCTAGGCCATACCAGGTGTTAAATATTTTTAGTATCACCACTGTATACTATAACTCTTACATTCTCTTTACATTACACATGAGAGAGAGAAAGACCATGTTGGCTTATTAAAGGCTCTGAAAATGGATGTAGGAAAGCAAAGGTTAAGCCTCTTAATGCAGCATTCCCTAAATGTATTTGACCTCAGTATTCTTTCTATCTCACATCCCACAGAACTGGTGACTCCATGAAACACTCTGAAAACACTGGGTTAGAGTAATGAGGAGACAGAAAAGAGCCCTTCTTTTTATCCCAGTGAACGCTGAAGGGCAGATCTCACTCCTGTGTGGGCCCGTCATCTTCACCCCAACCATCCAACTATACATCCACACCTCTCAACCCCGCCAGATGGAAAATAGAAATAATAACCTTCTTACCCATTATTCCTACTCCTTTATCCTGCACATATGCATATCCAGCTGAGAGATCATACTACCATGCTAAGAGAGGGACCTTATCCTCCCAAGTAACCCAGACTCGCACAGAAGAAAAAACTTCATCTCTTTGGACAGTCCCCTCTTCTCTTGACTGTGTCTTTATGTGTCAATGTGTATCTGTATGCAGGGTCTTTGAAGAGAGCATGCAAAGTACAAACTGTAAAAGCTAGATTTTCTAGGGGCTGTGTTCTGGTGGTGAGGGTAGTGATAATTTTATGGGGTTTTTGTTTTGTTTCAAGATAGAAAGTAAGCTCATCTATTAAGGGAGTCCTAGTGGAAAGGATTATGTGATGGTAATGTTGTGGAAGTTGAGGTGTAAAGACTTCTTGAATGTCACTGAGATCAAGACAACCGGATATTCTCTGTCCAAGTCTCCGGGCCACAGATTCTTTTTGCTTGGGTGGAGAGAGAAAATCATCCTAGCTCATGAGGTGAGCTCTTTCCTGTTGATTTCAAGCAAGATGCATATAGAAGCTTTATGCTGAGTGAGGGTTTTTTGTTTTTGTTGTGTGGTGTGTTTTCTTGTCTTGTTTTAAGTGCTGAGAAATTAGGGCAGGAATCACAGTGCTTACAGGTTGTTTCATTACTCTTGTGTGACCTTGATTGCCTCACCAAGGGGGCAGAGTTATTCTTGAGGATCTTATTCTCTCCGAAACAGAACTTCAGGGGATATGGCAGTGGTTTAATTTTGCAGCTGATGCAGGATAATGAACTTTCCAGTTGGTATTCCTCACAATTCTGGGAAAGTGTCCATGCTAAGACTCTTAACTCCAGGACTTGCATAATATTCTAGCATCTGTTAGTTGATGAGTTGGTCATTGTTTCTCTTTATTGATGATGTGTTAATACCAGTGTCACAACTTAAAAATTATCTTATATGTAAGAGCAGTTTGGGGTTAGAGAGGGAGAGGAGTGGAGAGGAGCAGAGAGGATGAAAATATTTTTCTCTTTAATGCTTAGATTCTGGTTTTTCCTCAACAGACTTATTTTTCCACCACAATTGGTGGAATTAATCAGAGCGGTAATAAAGGGAGCTGCAACAGTCTAGTTTCATGACTGTCCCATTTGCTTAGGGAAAATGGGGTGAATCACAGCTCCTCAGAGCCCTGGGCCCATATGGACCTGAAAATAAGGTCATTTTGCTGAATGGGCTTCTTAGAGTGGATATGACTTGATCAACCCAGTCCCTGCCTTCTGCTCAGAGCAGTCTTCCTTCTTTGCCTGGAATGCACTTCTCTTGCTTGTATTCATATGACCAGAGCAAAATGGCCAGTCCTTTGTAAGGAGCCTTGTTCTAGGTTCTCATAGACAGGAGTGTTCTAGGATCAATATTAGGAGAAGCCCCAAGGAATAGGAAAGTATTGCCTTCCATAGTGAAACTGGACTATGCCATTTCTTTTACCTTCCCACTCTGCCTCATTCATTCATTCATTCATTCATGCAAATCAGCTCTATTAAGCAGTGGTTCAGAACCTGTTTTGGATCACAGACTCTTTTGAAGATCTGATAAAAACCAGGAACTCCTTTTTGAATTAGCAATTCACTTTTCATATACGTTTACCCTACCCATGGAATCACTTAAGCTGGGGTCAAAGAAAGGTCATTATATATTTATGTCAAGAATACAAGGCAATGGTCACTAAATATTTTAAGGGATAAGATACCAGAGACAGCAGGATATAAGAATAGTCTGGTCTATAATGACTAGAAGTGTATTGCTTACAATCTATTCTTCTCCTCCTCCTCCTCCTCCTCCTCCTCCTCCTTTTTTTTTTTTTTTAAAGATACAGAATGCTAACAAATCCAGCTCCTCACAAACTTTGTTTTAAAGACTTGTAGGAGGTGGCTCTCCATGCTATCAGATCACACTCTTAATAATTAGATGTTAACCTCCAGCCTTTAATCTGTTTTAGTATGTGTAAGGCTAGAAAGTGAAGCCCCTGAAGTGCAGGTGCAGTCATAGCGCCCAACTGAAAGACATCATGGAGTTAAGGGCCTTCTACAGAAGGGGCATCCCTTTAGGTCATTTCTGGTGTTCCACTCTTCTCTACCTCGGTCCAACAGCACTTCCTTTGGACAAAAATAAAATAAGCAACAGCCATCATATGTGGGCAAGTAGATTTGAATGATTTTTCCCACAGGGAATCAGCCTCAAACTCCCATCTTCCAACTGCCTCTGCCACATGTCCACCCTAACTGCTTTAAATAATAAAAAATGCCTCTCTGTTCTCTCTGGGCAAAATGTAAAATAGAGAAGTACCATAAGAAACCTGTCACCTTTCCCCCTCTGTGGTACCTCTATTTAGGGTGCAGGTATCTTCCCCTTTGCATCCCATCAAAGTATCTTTGTAAAGAATCCCTTACACAGGAGAATGTGACCCAAAGTGTTAGCTTCGCCCAGACCTGTTTACATTTTAAGTGTTCTGATAGCTGATAGTAGAAATGGAAGGAAAATCTTTTCCCTGTTAAAATGATGTTATGCCATTAGGGAGCTGAAGAGGTGATATAATTTGGGACAAAAATCCTCCCCTTTCCAGTACTCGTGCAATGAAACTGCTGTTGCCTATTTGTATCAAGGACAGGGTGAGCCCTGACACAGAACCATAGGTACCAGAAGATAGGTTCTTTCCATCTCTGGATGAGAGTGAGTGGGATTGGGCAATAACAGAAAAGTAAAATCTATTCTTTTAGACTCCTTAGAGATCCTGAGCTGGCAAAATTTCTTTCTTTTCCCTGGAATGCTCCAATAGGCCTAGGCTCTCAAAATGTGTGATTTTTGGTCCAGCAGCATCAACATCACCTGGCAGCTTATTTTAGAAATGCAAATTCTCAGGCTCCACCCCAAATACACTGAGTCAGAAACTAGGAGTGGGATAATACAGGAAAGCTCAGCAATTAGTCTTTTAGCCCGTCTTCCTGGATCTCTGAGGTATGCTAATGTTTAAGAACCTCTGGCTCAGAGATCCAAATTCCATTTCAATCAGTGGTATCACACCCTCTTCAATGTTGTCAGATTGATTTTCTGCAACCTCTCCAAGCTAGTTGTTTTTCAGTTCTGTTCCTCTTGAGTTCCAAGGCCTTCCTTCACTCTTTAATCAGTGAAAGGACTGGGTCAGTCACCAATTTCAGAAACTGGTGGGGCAACTACCAAGTTGCTGTGATTGATTGGGGCTGGAGCTTCTAAAGTGGACACTGAGGATTTGTGGGTCCAAAAATCTGAAAGGACAAAAGGAACAGACACACCAGAGAAAGGAAATCCAATGGAAAGCTGAAAAACTGACAACCAAGGAAATGATCCTCCTTTGCTAGTTATCTGGTCCTTTTTTGGGCCTAATAGTTGCCCTGGAGGCAGACTAGGTGAGCATTCAGCACAGAGGTAGGGAGTAAAGCCAACTGTCCCAAACCCTTAAGAATCCAAGTTTTTCAACTTCAGAATGCGCTGGAGTTGGAGAACAATAAGGTGCTATGCAAGGAATTTCTAACCAGGATTTGGTCTGTTGGAGCATCAGGGAGCTCTGAGGACACAAGAGGGAACCAGACTCATTTAGTAAGATGTGACTCAAGGGAGATTTGAACCCAGACTCTATTAGGTAGAGATTGTAACCCATCAAGCCATGGCACCTATGTCAAAAACATTCTCCTGCCCTGGCCAGGATGGCTCAGCTGGTTGGACATGGGAAGATAGCCATTTCGATTCCTTGTCAGGGCATATGCCTGGGTTGTAAGCTCGATCCCTACAGGGCATCATGCAGGAGGCAGTTGATTGCTGTTAACGCTCTCACATCAATGTTTCTCTCCTGCTCCCTTTCTCTCAAAATCAGTAATAATAATAATAATAATAATAATAATAATAATAATAATAAATCTTTAAAAATTATTTAAAACACACCTCATTCTCCTACTTTGAAGATTCTGTCCAACTCAGGCTTCAGGAAGGGATTGTTACCTCCTCTAGCTCCTCTCCTAGGCCTCCTCATGAGGGCAGGCTGAAATGAAAGTTGCAAACCTGCCACCCCTCTGGAGAGCTCCAAGGCCAGAAGGTTAGAAAGAACCTACCTCTCCGGGAGAGGTGATCAGCCCCTCTCCCCTAAGGCAGAAAAAAGCTTGGCTACTGCTTGCTTCAGCTCCAAACCTCAGGCTCTTTCTTTCCCTTCTTGTCACCACTTCCATATTGCCAATAAAAGGAGCTTTATTTATTTATTTATTTATCTATCTATCTATCTATTTAGATTAGAGAGAGAGGGAGAAACATAGATACGAGAGTGAAACATTGATCGGATGCTGCCACACACCTTGACCTAGAACTGAACCCACAACCTGGGTATGTTTCCTGCCTGGCAGGGAATCAAACCTACAGCCTTTTGGTATGTGGGACAACAGTCCAATCAACTGAGCCATTCTGGCCAGGGCAGCTTTCTACACTCTTATCTCCCACTTCTCTTTTCAGATTGATTGGTTTGGTTTGGTATTTTCTTTTGTTTTTATCTGGGAAATACCACACCTTCCTGAGGGTGTTTGTTCTTCCCAGTCCCTGTCTTCCTTCCCTCATAGTTTCTCTCTCTTGTCCAGTTTCTTTTCTGTCAGCCTTAACCTTACTAAGTAGGGTCCATTAGGTCCTCAGGTTACGTGGGAGATCCCTTCCTACAGCGTGACATAACTCGATTTTGCCATAAGCCGGAACCCACCTACATAAGCACCCATGTCACACACATGGAGCACACACCCAGCAGTAATGAAGTGAAACAGTAAAATAAATAAACAAATAAACAAATAAATAAAATTTAAAAAAATTAAAGGAAGATAACAATTCCTGACCTTTACTTGTGGTAAATACAGTAAATAATAAACATGTACATATGTTGAAGTGATGGAACCTTTTTTTTTTTAATTTATAAATAAATGGAAGATGGCAACATAACCATGAAATGACGTAACCCGAGGACTGCCTGTACTTCCCACTTTCTTTTCTCAAATTCTTGGCTTGGCTATAGCAGCTTAGCTACCATCTCACACCACTCCACATCTCTCTCTCTCATATCCAGACTTGGCCAAAGTTGTTGGTACTGTCAAATCCAGGCCCTACAGGTTCTTCTTCCCTTGATGTAACTTCCGAAGTGGCTTTCTACTTTTCACTATTTTGATTATTCAGTCCCTTCCTATCTCTTGTGGCTCCTGGGAAGTAGTTCCAATTCTACAAGCCATTTTTTGAGTTATTCACTACATGCTAGGCACTGGCTGTTCCAGGCCTGGGAGATTGTGATCAGGGGCCTGTGCTCAGCATGTTCCTCAGCGGAGCCCTCCCCGGCCATCACTTTCCTGCCAGGCCTCATAACACTGTGCGCCAAGGTGCTCTTCCAGGAAGCATTGGGTATATGCCTACTTGCCGTCCAGCCCAATTGCTCCGTGCCTGCCAGATTTCTAGCAATTGTCTGACTTTATTTCCTCAGATGGACTGTGAACCTCCCACAGGTGACTTTGTCTGTATCCTTAGGGATCTATTATATACACTCTTTATGGTCCCTGACATTGAATAAAGAATATATTGACTCAGTCACTGATTTCCTCTGTTGGGTCCTCTCCTCTACTCTCCTCCCATTCTCAGCAATTCAGTCCTGAATAAAAAAACAACTACACAAAAGCTGCAACAGCGTAGGGACTGAGACAGCTCAGGGGAATCCCAGGGGAAGTAGGGCAGCCATGTGTGAGTCCCCTCACTGTCCTTCCTGAAACATAAACCCTCAAGGCATCACAGTACAGGCCTCTCTGCCTCCCTCCTCCTGAAGTCCTGGCTCCCAGATGTCACTCCCCAGTCAGTTGGGGATTCAACTCATCCTGGAGGCTAAGGTAGCAGAGCATAGAGCTGGGCCAGGCTTAGGGGAAGGCCAGGTCAGGTGAGTGAGGGCCTAGGGCACAAATTTAAGGAAGCCCTTGGTCTCTGGGTTATTCAAGTGCCGAGTCTCCTCTTTGGAGACCCTTAGAATGCTGAACCCTTAAAACCTAGACAGCTGAGTCTGGAACCAGCTGGTGCTGGTGACTGCAAAATAACCCCCTAGGCAAATTCACAATATTTGGTGATTTGGGGGAGCCAGAGGAGATGCACACAGATGGGGTTAGGCATGAACTGGATCCACCAGATGCACTCACTTTTGAGGGTGAAGAGGTCAGGTATCTGGCAGGTTATGAAGAACATAGAGCAAGAAATAGTGTGGGAGGAAATATGGAAAGTTGACTGGGGAGAAACCACCTTTGGCCCACTGACATGGCCTTTCAGCCCTGGAGCTTCCCTGGGGCAGGGAGAGGGAACCGCTTGGCTGGCCTTGGCACAAGCCAAAGGCTTTGCTCTTCCTACATGGGAGTTGCCTTGAAGAGCTTCAAGCCTACTGTTTGGGGGGCTGCTTCCCCTCTGCAGCTTTCCCAACACCAGCCAGATTGTTTTGTTACCTGCCTCCGTGTAATATTTTCCTATTTTCTTGCAGTTCACTTTCACTCCTCTATTTCTAGTGTCTGTGTCTCCTCTACAAGTCAGTTGGAGTAAAACTTTCGACTAGTCTGGTCTTTCCCCTAATTAAAAGGGGGAGGAGGGAAGAACTTGATAAAAAGGAGAGGAGAAAGAGTGATTGTTCATGGAGGTGCTTGTTCTCTTAGCCAGCTTCAGTGGACTGTTGAAGGCCTGACTTCTTCTCTCAGATCACTGCCTCTCTCAGGCTCACCCAAGGCCTCCCACTGCCACCTCCCTCCCCTCAGTCTTCAGGTCCTCTCTTCCAGGTCCTTCCCTCACATGTTAATTTCCAAACAACCTATCTTCCTGTCCTTGCTAGGATGGACAGGGTTTGATAGATTTTGGCTGGCATAATCTCCAGCCCAACCAGAGAGCCGTGCCATGTTAGAGTTCCCCAGAGGAGGAGAAAGAACTCTATTGCTTTGAGAACACTGTCAAATGTCCTGAAAACACCTCCCTACAGTGTGTTTGAGAACATCCTGCAAGAAAACACTAAATCATTAACATATTCAGTGTAGAAATGAATTCTAAATTTCAGACCTTTACCTACATAAAAAAGATGTTCATAGAGTTAAAGAGTAGATGGTGAGGCCCCATTCAACATCTCTAACTATAGTAAAGAGAGCACTGAAGTTCCTATTAAAAGTCCACTTCTAGCCCTAACCAGTTTGGCTCAGTGGATAGAGTGCCCACCTGTGGACCAAAGTGTCCCACGTTCTATTCCAGTCAAGACTGGTCAGGGCCCATGCAGGAGGCAACCAAATTTACTGTTGGTCAGGGCACGTGCAGGAGGCAACCAATAGATATGAAACACATTGATATTTCTGTCTTTCCCTCTCTTCCACTTTCTCTAAAAACCAATGGAAAAACATCTTTGGGAGAGGATTTAAAAAAAAAGTCAATTTCTAAATTGTACATTTTCTAAACATTAGCGTTTTCACTTAAGATCTAAGAGATTGAGATGAAGGTGAAATGAAATAATGCATACAAAAAGCACAAATCATCTTATAAATAAAAAAGCTATAATTGATGATTATGTGGACATTTCTACACAATTTATATGATTCTGAAAACAAAAGAAATATAATAAGTCCAATTTCTGTGTCTCCTCTATAATTCCCATTACCTTCCCCTAACAACAGAAGACCATTTTTTTGTGTATCCTTTCAAAGTTTCTTTATACAATACAAAGAAATACATTTCCCTTCATTGGTATGGTCATCTTGATTTTTTTCCCACTTAATGTATCTTGGGGAGCTTTTCATAATGATACATAGAGAACCCCCCCTTTTTTTATAGCTTCATGCTACTTTACTGGAAGAAAGCTTCATGCTTTAACCTATCTCCTTATGGTATTTAGATTATTTCCTTTTTTGTTGTTGTTGTTGCTGCAATGCTGCACCAAATACCTTGAACATAAGTGTTTTCACCAATGCACTAATATCTAAAAGGTAAATTCCTAAGTGTAATTCAGCTGGGTCACAGGATATCTGAATTTGCAATTTGGAAAGCTAAGTTCCCTCTGTTGGGGTGGCGGAGATTTACACTCCTACTAACTCTGTATGTGAGTGCTGGTTTCCTCACAGCCTCACCAATGGAGTAGGTTCCCAAACATTTTTGGATTGATTAAAATTACTGTTTAATGTGCATTTCTCTTAGGAGTAAAATTGCACATTTTTCATATTTATAAAGGCCATTTGTTAACTTTTTTCCAATAACCATGAAATATTTGATGCTAGAGAGCATTTAAGGTTCATTACAACTCTAAAGTCCAACAATTCTAGCTCTCTATCTCTCTCCCTTCCTCTCTGTAAAAAATCAATAAAATATATATTAAAAAAAAAAAAAAGTACTGATCCAGCGGGTTTCTGCTATACCTGGTTAACACTCCATCAAGCATTATTGATACTCATTTAACTCTCAGTGATGAGACAGACGTACCCTGTGCCAAGCACTGTGCTAGATGCTTCACACACACTCATTTAACTGAGGATTAATATATAAAACATTTTAAAAAATTACCAGGGCAAAAATTTAAAAGCCATTGACAATCCATTCTGGGAGAAGGGACTTTCTCCTAAAAGGAATTTCAGGTAAGAACACTTTGGTTCAGAGATACCACTCAACGTAAAGGCTATCTCCTCTTGCCCCAGGGATTCCTCCATGTCTCTCCTTACGTGCCCTCTCCCCCAAACTCAATAGGGAGCTGCTAGGGTATCTAACAGTAATTCAATACTTCTAACACCATGAACTACTGGTTTCCTTCTGAAAGGCATTTTCCTGGGCCCTGTAGCAGGAACAGAACTTCCACGACTTGACCTCCCTTCACCTCACCTGTCCCAGCCACAAGGCCTCACCAACCACCCCCCATGCCCCCACGCCCCCACGCGGGGAAAGAGGAGACGGACACCATATGGCGATTTGAAAGGTCTTGTGAATAGTTAGTCCATTTCAACGCGTGTGAGAGCTGCTCTAACAGGAACCACATGGGGAAAGAAAGGCCTCTGTGCCTGGAGGAAGGGAAGACGTTCCCACACGAAGGGGTCCACGGGCTTTCAGGTGCAGCAGCGGGTGCGGGCGGCCCGAGGGCCGGTCCTAAGGGAAGCTGACCTCTGGCGGGGCCGCTTTGCCGGCTTCTCGGGGTCCAGCTTCTTCTCTTCCCGTGGCCTCCTCCCTCGGGACCGGGACCTGTTTTCTTTCACGGCCTTCCCTCTGCTCCTGTCCATCACCTTGGCCCTGGCGTCCTTGGCTCTGGTGTCCTTGGCCTTTGCGTCCTTGGCCCTGATGTCCTTGGCCCTCGTGTCCTTGGCCTTGGGACGCACCTGGCCCCGGACTCTGGGCCGCAGCCTCCTCAGGACGCTGCTGACCCGCGCGTCCCGCCTCCAGACCTCCCGGGCCCGCCGCGCCGCCTTCCGACAGCGCACGCGGCGGCGCCTCCGCGGGCTGCGCAGCCCCGAGGGCGTCCTGCAGGGCCGGACGCTCTCTTTCGACTTCGGGCGCCCCGGCTTCCTCTTGGGCTTCGGGGGCTTCCAGACGCGCAGGTAGCCGGAGGTGTGGCTGCCGCTGACCCTGATGAGGGTGCCCGGGAAGCCGGCCGCGCGCGCCCCGCCGCCGCGGCGCCGGCACCGCCTGCGCACCTGGTAGCCCGCCTGGCCCAGCTCCCGCCGCAGCGCCGCCACCGTGAGCCGCTTGTGCGAGGCGATGGCCCCGAGCAGCAGCTGGGACACCCGGAGCACCGAGCGCGAGTCCCGCCGCGGCCGCGCCGCCGCGAGGGTCTTCTCCGGGGGCGGCTGGGCTTTCACTTCGGCGCCTGGGGATGCGCCGCTGAGCTCCGCCTTCTCCGCCCCGGCTCCGGTCCCGGTCCCGGTCCCGGTCCCGGCTGCAGCCCCTGCATCTGCCCCTGCCCCGGTCCCTGCCCCGGTCCCTGCCTCTGCCCCGGTCCCGGCTACAGCCCCGGTCCCGGCCACAGTCCCGGCCACAGTCTCCGGTCCCGGTCCCGGCTACAGCCCCGGTCCCGGTCACAGCTCCGGTCCCGGTCACAGCCCCGGTCCCGGCCACAGCCCCGGTCCCGGTCACAGCCCCGGTCCCGGCCACAGTCCCGGCCGCGGCCGCCTCCGCCATGGCCCAGCTCAGCTCCGTGGGGCGCGGGGCTGGGGGCGCACCTACCCCAGCTGAGCTCGGACGGAGGCGGGGGCCACGTCACAAAGGCCGGCCAGCGGGAGGGTCAGTTCTGGGAGCGGACTGGCAGCTCCCTCCCGGGCAGGGGATTTTTATTATTATTATTATTATTTTTACTTTTAGCCACCTACCACTTCCTGCTGGGTCTAAGCCCTCCAGATCTCCCACTCCGATACCCCCAGAGGAATCACCTTCATCATCTCCCGGAGTTTGTTCCCTGCTCTTATGCTCACACTTCTCATGGGTCTTGATCTCGACCACTTTTTGACATTCACCAGTTTTCTGGGAAAAAGTAGTGCACACCATCTACCCATACTTCCCTAAGGCGAGAGACACTGCGCTCAACTATCCCAAACAAGCCGCACATGCCTTACGGAGTGAATGTGGTAGGTGGTCCATAAAACACACCGGCCTAGAACAGAAAGGCCCGCGGTCCCGTCAGCTGAGTCTGCAGCCATGTCTCCCTGACTCTCCACAAAGGCCGGAACCACAGTGGTACCCACTCCTAGGAAGTTCAGATGCCTCATTCCGTTGGGTTGGAACAACCAGATTCCAAATAGCCTAAGAACACTGGTCTAAACATTGTTGAACAGCCTTGATGCTTATCTCCCTCCAGTGCCTCTTCTGGGATTGCCCACCCCCTTTCTCTGCCTAGATGAATCCTGCTAATGATTTCTCTCCTCTTAACTACCACAATTACTTTTACACTCCTATACTGCTTATTCTTTATTTTAAATTAATTTGGTAGAGGGTACAATGTGCCACTATTGTACCCTCAAAAGACAAGCAAACAAACAAACAAACAAAACCAACAACCCTGGACGTGAAGCTGGAAAACATAGTTACATATCTTAATTCCTTCCTTCCTTCCTTCCTTCCTTCCTTCCTTCCTTCCTGCCTTCCTTCCTTCCTTCCTTCTTTCTTTTTTCTTATGTTTATTGTTTTTAAGAGAGAGAGGAAGGGAGAGGGATAGAAACATTGATGAGAGAGAAACATTATTGATTGGCTGCCTTCTGCCTGCTCCCTCCTGGGGATGGAGCTCAAAATCTGGGCATGTTTTCCTGACCAGGGAATCAAAGCCCCGATTTCCAGGTTCCTTGGGTTGACGCTCAATGACTGAGCCACACTGGCCGGGCCATATCTTAATTATTTTACAGCCATATGGCATTGATAAATCCCTTACTATCTTTGGATCTAATTTCTTAAAAACAAAAAGCCAGTAATCCTTCCCTACCAACATCACATAATTATTTCAGTGGCTCAGAGAAGATGATGGTAGATGACAAAAGGCATAAATTGTTTTATTCTGGCTGTTTGTCTTTCCAACTAAATAAAAAAAATTTCCCGAGAGCCAGACAGTCTTTCAATTCTGTCTCATCCTGCACCTAACACTATCTTTCATCGTACAGAGCAGGCATTTGGTTGAGTGTGCTAAACTTCTGGTGAGGAGGCTTTCTCTGGATTCAGAAGAAAACACCCAGAAAATCAGTAGAACAGAGCAGGATGGATTTCAAAGGGTTGGAAACGAAGGGACCAAGGAAGCTAGCTGCTCAAGGATTTCTTTATTTTGGACACTGTTTAATTGGGACTAACTGATAGAATTATTCAAAGAATACTTCAAATTGCAAAGAATTTCATACTTTTCCAGAGGACATTCACATATACTCTACAGTCTACTGTGACATAGTTTCTTCCAGGAATCAAAGTTCTAGGAAGTAGCTTAGACCTGCACTTCTTAAACATTAATGCACAATTCAGAGTGCAAATTCTAGTAATTAGGTCTGGGATGGGGCCAGAAGGTGTACTTTTTAACGAACACCCAGGCAGTTCTATCTGGTTAAAATAAAAGTAAGTGTTGTGGTGGGGGGTGGGGTATGGCAGGAGATGAGATTGGAAAGGGGGCGTAGGGCTGAGATGTGAAGGACAGATACCATAATGACACATCTGTAAGTGGCCACAGAGCAGTAAGTGGTAAAGTTTGGATTCAAATTGAAGTCTATTTATTCTAAGGCCTGAATTCTTAACTACAATACTGTGCTTGGTTTCCCTTTTGCTAAGATTGACCCTCCCCATCTTACATATCTCTATTATCTCCTAATCACAGCTTAAAATCATGAGTATCTACAAACATTCACTGTACCTTCTCCCAAAAGAGCACTGTGAACCTGAGGGTCTCCAAGGAGAGGGGACTAACACATAGACAGGGCACCATGGAAGAGTTGTCAGATGGAGAGGCAGAGCCACAGGGAGGGGAATTTCTCCCATTTGTATAGTCTCTTGATCTGACTATACTTTCTGGTTGCATAGGTCAGTGGCCACAAGATGGGGCAACCATGAGGAGAAAAAAAGAGACAAAACTGTATACTTTGAGAGTAGGAGGAAAGTGAGTCTGACCTTCAAATCAGCTCATTCCAGATTGGCTGCACACAATGGTATCATCATAAAAGACAAGAACAAAGTCAAATCACCATTGTATTAATACCCTTGCAATTGTAAAGGAGGCCAATTAGCCTGAAACGAAAGAAAAATAAATACCGTATTTTTCGGACCATAAGACGCTCCAGACTATAAGACACACCAGTTTTTAGAGAAGGGAAATGAAGAAAAAAAGATTCTGAAACAAATAGTGTCCTAAAATATTTATGTGCATTAAAACCCAACATCACAGTCATAAACACATGTAATCAACCCTGTAAAGTAAACAGCAGCATTTAGAACCATTTTAGAGCCGGGCAAGCACACAGAGACCACACAGAGCCGGGCAAGTAAAAAAACTTTTTTTTAAAGTACATGTGTAGGCTATATTTGGACCATAAGACACAGGGACTTTTTCCCCCCACTTCTGGGGGGAAAAAAGTGCGTCTTATGGTCCGAAAAATACAGTATATGAAAAACATATAAAAAAACACCTATGGCAAAAAAAAAAGCAAATATTTTCATTTATATATAATCATTTACTTCTATATAGATTTCTGTATAAATCTCTCAGCAATTAATCTGAAAATATCTTTGATGAAGCAATAAAAAATTATTATTTTATTAAATCTCAATCCTTGAGTACCCTTCTTTTTAACATTCTGTGTGAAAACAAAGCATTTCTGCTACGTGCTGAAGTTTAGTGATTGTCTCAAGGATAAGCCTCTGTGCAATTGTTTGAGTTTTGAGGTGAATTAGCCACATTTTTATGAAAGACCATTTGTACTTGAAAGAATGACTGAAATACAAACAATAGTTATTCAAAATTAGGTATTTACCAAACATTCTTAGAAATTAATAAAGTGACTCTATAATTTCATATAAAACAACTCACATGATTTATTGCTAATGGTAAAATCATTTTTAGACAAAAAATAACATTTTAGAAGAGCTTTATTACCTAAAATAATTTTTTTAAATATATTTTATTGATTTTTGTACAGAGAGGAAGGGAGAGAGATAGAGAGCTAGAAACATCAATGAGAGAGAGTCATCGATCAGCTGCCTCTTGCACACCCCCTACTGGGGATATGTCCGCAACTAAGGTATATGCCCTTGACCGGAATCGAACCCGGGTCCCTTCAGTCCCCAAGCTGATGCTCTATCCATTGAGCCAAACCGGTACCAGCTACCTAAAATAAATTTGACACTATCCCAACACTTCCTGTTGAGATCAGTGGTGATATTAACAATTATGATTTTTGGATAACGCATAGTAAAATATGTCAGTCTGTGGGAGGTCTGCCTAACTCAATGAACTAATATTTTCCAAATGGCCAATGCCTTGCAATTTTACAACATAAGGTTACAGAACTCTGTATGGGTAAAAGAAGAGAGGCCCTTGGTTTCTGATGTTACAGGGTATGAAAAGTTCATTGATATAGTCTCAGATTTCACATTGCAACTAACCTTTTTTTTGGGGGGGGAGGGATCTCATTTGATATGCACATGAGAACTCACATTGGGGAAAATCCCATTATTGTAATTAATAGAGAAAATCCTTCAGAAGAAGCTTTTCCCTTACTGTATACAACAGAATAAAAAATAGAACTCAGTAACTTTGAGAGCTTGTTTGGAGGTTCTAGCAGGGGAGCGCAGCTACTCGTATACCCTTGACCTAAGACCGGTCCTCTCCTCTTGGGGGAAAGTCGTCCTCTTCAACCGAGCGCGCAGCTTCGGGAGGGACGCACATGGATCGGTGAGGGAGGAGGGAGACACCCGCCTAGCCAGCCAGATCAGCCGAATCAACCCTGGCGATCAATGGGGTGACAGATGTCGCAGCCAGATCGCCCTCACATCCAGAACTCAGTAACTTTGAGAAAGCCTTGAGTGTTACTTCACCCCTTAGGAAGCATGACAAACCATACCAGAGAAAAGCCCTATGAGTGTAACCAGTACAGTAAGGTCCCAAAAGCGGGACGTCTGGTCACCTTACAGTATAAAAAATCTTTCTGCTGTAGTTCTTAACTTACCATGAATGAGAGAATACTCAGTGGGGAGAATCCCTATGAACATTGAGTGCTGAAAAGCATTTATTGCTCCTTCACCTCTTTGGTAACAAGACCATTCACAGTGGACAGAAATCTTAAGAATGTAACAATGAGTATAGGACAATTTCTCTCTCCTTAGGTAATAGAGGTAAGTACTTAAATATCACCAATGTGAATGAGCCTTCCATTTTGTACAAGATAAGTTACACAACAGGAACACATAAGGAATGTGACCCCTCATTATTTACATTGGAGAGAATTCCTTTAATGTAATTAGCAGGGCCAACTTCATGAACATGTGACTAATGCTGTCATACAGGGCTCCATGCTTGAAGTTTGATACTGAGGTTGTCATCTTAAAGTTCTTAATAATATTATTGTGAGTTTGTGTTTTATTTTTTATTTTTTAAAATATATCTTATTGATTTTTACAGAAAGGAAGGGAGAAGGATAGAGTTAAAAACATTGATAAGAGAGAAACATCGATCAGCTACCTCTTGCACACCCTCTACTGGGGATGTGCCCTTGACCGGAATCGAACCCAGGACCCTTCAGTCCACAAGCTGACACTCCATCCACTAGCCAAACCGACCAGGGCTCAACAATAAAGATTTTAAAACAAATAAAGAGCATGTCGAGATCAGTGAGCTCTTCTACAATATCAACTCATTGGCCAAAATCCTGACTGACCGGCAGGATTAGTACATGAAATGAATCTTTCATGTACAAAGTGACACTCCTCAGCATGGCTGGGCCTGGGTACCGGCTGGGATACAGGACTCACCCCTGGCCTTCAGATTCTGTTCCCACTTGGGTGTGGTTAGCAGCAAGTTCAGTATG